AGTTTATTACTGTCAGATGTAAGTGGAAGCGACGATGAATAAAGGTAATTCCCAAATTTTTGACTTACAATATGTTTCAAACCACTCTTTATTAAGCATGTGACAAATCTAGTTCACCCATGTTAAACATTCATACCCCGCCTATGAACAGCCGACTACTGGTAGTTAAGTGATGTTCACGTGAACATCGATGAGTCATTACAGTTTTAGATAGTTATAGTATAGGCAAAGGCATGATCGTTTTTGTTTGTGCCCTTTGCAAAATACTTGGAGGGTAAGAAGTCCCCCAGTGTTTTGGACCAAACAAAATTATAATAAGTTACATAAGGAAGTTAAATAAATGAGTCTGAATTTGTTGATCTCTAAATATTATATGTTGCTTGTTTGTACCTAACGGATCCAATGCATATTTCTCTTCTGGACAATATAGAATTAAACTGAATTGGGCCATTAATTGAAAATTTATCTGTGCAAAATAGGTGCGGGTCGACAATACAAACGTTTTATGTTTGGTCTAAAAACGTTCGTCTCCAAAAACATTACTTTCAGTTGTAACCTGATTTGCGACAGGGGTACATTCGGTTTCATCATTATGAGTATTATCGCTTTCTGCTGATTCGGATTTTATAGAAGTAAATCTGTGAGAAAGCTTTTTTCTTCCGCCGCTATTCCTGATAGAAAATGAGCAGATGAAGCTTGAGTGACGCTCCCAAAATTTAAATATTCACAGTGTTCGTTATAAAGTTTTCAGCTTTTAAAATGATAATGCTGTAACTTTTCTCTGTCTCCGTAACTGGAAGCACTTCACAAACTTTCAACTTTTTTAATTAAAAAGGAATACGACCAAGAGCCTTGTTTTACAAAATTGTGCCATCAAAGTCTTACAGGTGTCCTGGTTGACCGTGGATTGTAAAATTATCGTCCGAGTTTCTTATAGATGAAAACTTCGAAGCATATTGTTACAGTCTCCTACAAGAGACAGCTCAATCGGCGAAATTATGGATTGGATTTTGTCGGTGGTTCCGGGTTGCGTATTGATACTGTAGAAGGAAGCGCATAGTCTCAAGAACAACGAACATCATGTGACTTGCAAAAAAAGACACTCGTAAGACAACCACAGGTACAAGCAGTGTTGCTGAACCTATAGATTTTTCGGTATTTCTACCGAAATGAGCTATTTGTTTACCGAAATACAGAAAACGTCATCATTTTCCACGATTTTTTAAAATAATTCAGATCAGTGTTCTCGAACCTACGGATTTTCGGTATTTTCTACGATTTTTTAAGATATTTCCAGATTTTTCACCGAATAGGAGCCGGGACCAAAAATAAAGTTAGGAAAAGGAATCTATGTACTTTTAGGTCCCATACACCAATCATACATAATGCGCATACTTGAAGCACTAGGCACATGAGGGATCTTTCTCGCTTGACAGTAAGTATGAAACACTTGCAGCTTTAATTTCCCTTGATTATAGTCTGGTATCGATAAGCAAGAGAGCAGCAAAACACGTCATACGCTATTGCACGCCCGGCAGTCTTTGAATTGTCAAAGTTGGTACGCGCGTATCCCGCCTGCTGCTGCATTCCTTTTCGGTATCCGGGTATAGAAGAGATATCGACATTTTTGAGATGGCATTATCTATCTCCCCCCGTACACGGCTCGTCTAGCAGAGGCTGCTTGTCGCGATAGAAAGAACCTTGAAAGCAGCATCGCGCTGCAGCTACCGTGCAACGCGCGTGACGCGCAACGCGATGCCGCGTGACGCGCGCACCTAGCCAACTACGACCGGCGATACACAATTAATTACGGTCGAATTACGTAATAAATAAAACAGGTAGCGCGTTTGTAGCGCAAACGGGCGTGATTCGCACCGCTTGTATCTCCTGGGAGACCAACTATCCTACCCGGCACGATTTAGATGTCTCTTGTTTGTTTTGGATGGGACAGGTTACGAGATTTATTATGCCTAGGCCGAGTATGAAATGAATTAGTATAACCAATGACAACGGGAAGGATATAAATAAAATAAAACCAACCTGGGAGTCTAGGTTAATCCGATCAAAGTCTATTTCTATTAGGTCATCTTATAAAGGTTCAAAATATCCAAACCTTCGTACCTACAAGGGTTGTTTCAAAAATTGGGTTCCCACGTTTTTTTCAGGCACAAGGAATGTTTCATTTGAAAAATCGAAATTTCAATTTCGGAAATGCTATATCAGGGCTGTAAGGGGGATGTGCACTGACCTCCCAGCCAAACCGCTAGTTTAAGTCTTTCGTTTGTTGTCAGACATGCGGATACGCATTGACGTGGTACAGTCTTAGGACTGTTTTACACTACACAATTTCTTGTACAAGATTTGGTTCAATTTCTTGAACAGATCTTGAATGAAAAATTGTTTCGTGTCTAAAAATGATGATTTACATTCAAACAATGTATCGTTCAAGGCACAGTTTGGGATTCTGCGCATTAAGATTCTGCCTGGCAAGAATCAATCTGTAAATGTCAAAGTTGTCAGTCACTCACAAAGTGTAAACCGAATTGTCAAAAATTAAAAAACAAAAAGCGATGTTAAGTTGACAAATAATTCTGGTTTCGTTAACATTGTGGTATTTGGTTACATCATCCGCTGGACTGCACTATGAAGCTGGAAAGAAAGCTTTAGCAGGTACATCTTTGGGTGGAACGAAAAAATTGCCAAGAGAAGTGGCTGAAAAGAGACGAAGACCGCGGAAAGTTGAAAATGTTGAGAGAAGAACTATAGGGTTGTCCAATAGGGACGCAGGAAAGTAAACGTCAATTTGACATAGACGCCATCTTTGTTTTCTGTCACCGACATGTCATTTTGTTAGTTGAATGTTTACCATTGATCGCTATGGAGTCGTATTCTTTTGAAGACCGCATTTTAATGTCATTCAAGAGCACTACAAAAATGGTGCAAAAATAAAAAACACGTTTCGCGCGCTTCGTGAACATTTCGGTCGCAACAACCGCCCAAACGAAACAACCATCGGTCGTCTGGTACGTAAATTCGAGGCAACAGGTTCTGTGGCAAATCTGCCAGGCTCTGGCTGGCCAAGGAGCGTTCGCACACCGGAAAATATTGCTGTTGTGAAGGAGAGTGTGAGAGACGATCCGAAACAATCAACAACGCGTCGATCCCAAGAATTGGGCATTTCGAGAACCAGTTTACACCGCATTCTCCACAAGGATTTGCATGTACACGCCTACAAGATCCAATTGACGCAAGAGCTGAGTCGGGCCGACCATTTTTCGCGCCGAACGTTCTCAGATTGGCTCCTTGAACACCGCCAAATTGATGCCACTTTTTCATCAAAAATCATGTTCAGCGACGAAGCGCATTTCACTTTGAATGGGACGGTAAACAAGCAAAACTGCCGCATCTGGGCGAACGAAAATCCCCGTGAGTATCAAGAGCAGCCGATGCATCCTCAAAAAGTGACTGTGTGGTGTGCATTGTGGTCAAAAGGCATCATCGGACCTTACTTTTTCGAAAATGCGGCTGGGGACGCCGTTACCGTCAATTTTGAGCCATATCACGTGATGATAGAGGACTATTTTTGCCGCAACTTGAAGGAATGGAATGTTTATTTTATTTCCAACAAGACGGTGCAACATGACACACAACCAACGTCAATATCTATCGATTGCAGTCCTTCTTCGGTGATCGCGGAATTTCGCGCAGAGGAAATGTGCCATGGCCACCAAGATCGTGCGATTTGACTCCCTTGGACTTCTTTTTATGGGGATATTTAAAAAGCAAAGTCTACGTCAACAAACCAGCCACCCTCCAAGAACTCAAAAACAACATCATTGCCGAGATAAATGCCATAGAACCGACCATGTTGCAAAATGTCATTGAAATTTCGACCATCGCGTGGACGTCTGTAAATCCGGTCGTGGTGAACATTTGAGCGATATTATTTTTCATACATAAATGGTATAAATGAACCTTCAAAATAAAGTACCCAACTTGATTTGAATATCAATCTTTCTTGTTTTAATATGCGTTTACTTTCCTGAGTCCGTTTTGGACAACCCCATATAATAAAAACTTTTTAAGAATGGACAATGAATGTTTTAAGAAATTGCTGCCTATGATTCTACCTGATATTGAAAAGCAAGGTACACACTTAAGACAATGTATAACTGCAGAACATTGGCGATATTATCAGCATGAGTCCTGTGAAAAAAAATTATGATGGCTTTGCTTCTAGGTTAGCTGTGACACTGCGATATTTAGCTAGTGGTAATTCATTTTGAGATCTGCGCATACATAAAGGTAACATACACGGGAGCGTCATATTATACATTTTTTAGCTCTCAAGTAGAGCTGAAGAATGGAAAAAAGTAGCATGAGTTCCACATCAGCATATGGCATTTCCCTTTGTGCTCAGGAGCTTTAGATGACAAACATGTTGATCGTGAGGCTCCTAAAAGCGCAGGATCTTTTTGTCAGAAAGAAACAACATACTTCTTCCAGGATCAGTAGAGTAGTAGGGTTAGTGATGGGGGTGTTTTTAGAGAATGCAGTCTCAAAAAGGGGATTGACGGAAACATTCTGAACTTTCCAGAAGATTCATTTCTGCCCAACAGTAATATCAATATTCCATATGTAATAATCTATGATGATGGTGATGAACAATAAATTTAGATCCATCAAAAGTTGAGACAATAAGACTAGCATGTGTTCTGCATAATTTTCTCTCAACATATAGTAAGCATTATATAGAAATGGATAATGAAAGCTGTAACTTGGATCGTCTTTCTCAACAAGGATTAACAAAATATGCTTCTGAAGTTGTTGACATTAGAAACCTATTACGCAGTTATTTCAGTACTACTGGACAAATATCTTTTCAAAATAGGTCTCTAGGAATTGATTAAAAATGTAACACAAATTTTGTCTTTTTTCGTTGCATCTCTTAACAATTTCTGTATCTCTAAATAAACATCTTGCTTAATTCGTGATTTTTTTTAATTGTGCTGCCACAAATGACCCAAGAGATCATCTGCTGTGGTCATGCCAGCAGTTTCGCCTTCCTGCAGAGCTGCTGGACCAATACATCCTTAAATTAACATCAATTATTACAATGAGTCTTAGATAATATTTTCTTACCTGTTTAAAAAGAAAGCTGATATTAACTAACGAAAATCAAAAATTCACTACCCAACGACTACGCGCACAACCAAAACAAAAACAAACAAGTGAGGTTAGGTATAATCTTGGAGAAGCCATGATAAATGCGCATGCGCCGGGCCTATAAATTGAATGAAAAATAGAACATGTTCCATATTCCAAACAATTTCTAGTCCAATTTCAGTTTTTTAACCAATTTGCTTTATGATAGATACTACACAATATATCTTCAACAAGAAATTGAACCCGAGGCCACTTTTTCACAAGCCTAACAGGGATTTCAACCGTCAGCTTCCAGATTCGCCGATCTTCGAGCAAGATTAGCTCAATCTTCGCCACAACTTCCTTGGAGAGAGACGGCCTTCCGGTTCGTTGTTGACATGTTAATACTACTTGTACACGTTTCCCCATATAGGTACTTCAGTCGACTGGCGATTAATTTTTATGGATTGTAACTTGCATGCAAAAATCCCATGACGAATTTCGCTCCTGGCGGTGACGCGGATGAAGGGCTCAATTGCGCATGGCTGTCGGACTGGTACTGAGCGTCGCAAATCGCTGCTTCTTGTTGGGATCCATGGTGGGGATCCATCAAACATGACGGTGTTGCCAGATTTCGCATAGCATGACGCGAGCAGTTAGAGAGTTGGGGACCCTATTTTTCAAACAACCCTCGTATAAGAAGCTGATCCTGCGAGACCAACTACAGTACCCTGCACGATTTAGATATCTCTTTTTGTTTTGGACAGGACACGTTACGAGATTTATTATACTTACGCTGGGTATAACCAATTACAAAGAGAACGGGAAGCATCTATAGTATATAAAATAAAACCAACCGACTGGGCAATCTACGTAGTTGATAAATTGTAGATTCAACCCCTTGCTCTGACTATCTTGGACAGATTGGTCAAATGAAGGTATGACAGTTTTGGTTCGGTTAAAGAACTTTTGAGTATCGAATTTTGATTAAATGAATATTTATAGTAGATGTTGGAACAGGTCACGTAACTGAAGACACACCAGGTCAAAATCAGATAGCCTACTTCTATTAGGCCTGCTTATGAAGCTTCAAAACATCCAGATGGTAATTAGTAAATATTTGTAAAGTCTGGTTTTGTTGGTGAAAGTTGTTCAAGGAGGTATTGAAAACATGGACGCATAAAATGGGTACACCAATTTTTGAGGGAAAACTTTTTATGTAAGATTTTTGGGTATTTATGAGACCTACAGAACGAGACCACACGTGAAAAGATCCGACTAATAGCAAAAATGTTATGGCCGAAAAAACGGGCAAAATGCAGGTTTTGGCACTTGTTGGTAATGCGATGATAATTTTACGCATTTACTTGAAATTCTTCAAATCCGCAGGATTCATCCTTCTGAATAACAACAGCAAAATTGGAGTAGAATGGTCAAGTAGTTTTTTGAAAATGTCTAATTGTTTATCCCAAAACACGTGTTTTCCGGACATCTCTACTAGTTTATAGAGCTATATATACAGGATTAGTTCAAAGAGCATTTTTTACTAAAATACACTAATTTACCTTGCCGATATGAATTTTAAACCATTCCGAAAGATAAATGTTATTTTTATGCAAAAAACAAAGGTTACGTTGTTTTCTTCAAAGCAAATTCAAACATTCCTCATTTATAAGTAATTGAACAAATGCGCTACAATATTCGAAAAACATCCGTTACTATACACATTTTAAAACAATTCGGATGCGTCTATCATCTTTTGATTCGAATTACCCACAAATACGAAATGTTTGAATTTGTTTAGATAAAAATAACATTTATCTTTCGGAATGGTATGCGATTCATATCCGCAAAGTGAACTAGTGTATTTTGCTATAAATTGCCTTTTGAACTAACCCTGTATGTTGCTCAATAAACTAGTAGTGATGGCCGGAAAACTTGTGCTTTGGGATAAACAATTAGAAATTCTCAAAAACTACTTGACCAATCTAGACCAATTTTGTTGTGGTTATTTAGGAGTACGAATACCATGAATTTGAAGAATTTCAAATATCTGCGAGAAAATATCGTCGCATTACCAACAAGTGCCAAAACCTGCTGTTTGTCTCTTTTTTCGTCCATAACTTGTAGACAAGCGCTACGTGGGCCATTTTCAAAGAACCGCAGGGGTATTATGTAAAAAACCTAAACGTCAAAAAACAAACAGTTCATTCCACGATTGCTCGCTATGATCACTGTTCGCTGACGTTTAAGCAACACGTACAGCTTCAAAATGAGCTCAAAACAAGTGTACAACAGGTTGTGCTAAGTTAATTAACATCTGGTAGAAAAACCTACGTTATGTCACAAAAAACCTACGAAATTGCGCATCGTTTAAAATAATCCCGATATTTACAGACTTTTTACCGAAAGAACGCTGGAACCAAAAATAAAGCTAAAAAACTGATTTTACACCTATGTGGTCTATGTAGTTTTATGTCCCATACCACTCATATATAAGCGCACCCTTGGGCAGTCGGGCACACGAGGGACGTGGTTGCCTACAATTTGTTAGGATTTTTTTCAGGAACAGATGTCCTCAAAAAAACCTGTGATGTGAATGAGCTCGCAATACAAAAATATACTTTTTCATAGAGGGCGCTGCGTGACGCAATGACCCTTGATCCATCGCTGATCTCGCGACGGTCCTGATTTTTTCCTCTTATCGATTTTATCATTGAATCTACCGAATTTCAACGACAATGTCTACCGATTTCGAATTTTTCGGTTCGGTAACTCTGCGCCATTACATTTCACATCTCTGGCAGTCTTGGTTGTGTCGTTATCCTCCCTTGTTTGTCGAGATCTAAATCGGCAAACTCGCGGGATGTAAAGTACGCTCAGTAATTCGATTACCAAACGCAAAGAAAATCATCTTGCTGAAATTCACCAGCAGCTATTCGAAACCGCCGGTGGAGCCTAGTCTTTAGCGGCGTCGTTCTGCTTCACGGCAACGCTCGGCCTCTTGTTACGGCAAGGTCACAGACGCAAAAGTTTCGTTGTGAATTAGTGGATCATCGTCAGATTTTCCAAAACTCGAGGAATTTTTTGGAATGCGCTTTGAAAATGATGACGTATTGATATAAATAGCTGCTAACCGGTTTAAATGTCAGGCATATTTCTTTGGGTCCATTACATAAGGAAAAAGTATTTCAAAATTAGAAACCGTCGTTACGTAAGATTTATTCATAAAACGTCAAATGATTTAAAGACAATCATTCACGTGTTGCTAAGGTTGAGCAACGATTCGTCGATCCTTAAAAATAGAAAAAAGCGGTTGCCTTACTTTCATTCCACCAACGTTTCAGTTCTGAGAAGATGTTTACATAAACATCTTACATCACCGAATTCTCGCTAGAGGTAAACGAAACGGCAGCGCTGCTTACTTCTTTTCCCACAAATGCACCATGATAATGTCTACTAACAGCCAAAGTATGCAGACTTTAGAAAATAGATTCACTTGAGAAAAAACCTTTTTGATTAACTGATATATTAGCCGTATAAACCATACGGGGCCCCAGCTTACAGGGGCCTCCACGTACGAAAAAAATACGTAAAGTACGTCGCTAAAAAAAAGTTCAAGACATATATCTATTCCGGAGCTTGGATAACTAACTATACTAAGTGACATATAAATCCGAACACCCAGTTTAAATGGTTTTATTTTAATAAAAGTTGGTGAATGTATTTGTCTTACTGTAAATAACAAATGAAAAAATTTTCAGCCTTATCAGTTGGACATTCCGGTTTTTATACTGCTTTTTTTTAATTTACTAACGCTCTAAAAATGAATATTTCAACCGCAGTAAAGAATCAACGTTGGCGGATTTTGGTTCTTGACATCCTTTACGATCGGTTACGATGCCTAGAGTACGGAGACCTGTACCATTTCGTCAACTTAGTGAGTTTGATAGGGGCCGTATAGTGCGGCTTCGGGAAGCTGGACTTTCTTTTCGGGCAATTGCAGTTAGAGTGCAAAGAAGTGTAGACACTGTGGTTAGGTGTTGTCAGGCATGGCTTCGAGAAGGCCGTACGCAAAGAGCAAGGGGCACTGGACGCCGCCGTAGAACAACAGACCGTGAACATCGCCGCCTAAGACTATTGGCCTTAAGGGACCGTTTCTCCACTACCAGGTCCATTGCAAATGAATGGTTTGCAGAACACGGAAGACCTATTGGCATGCGAAGTGTTTACCGACGAATGAGAAGTTTTGGCTTGTTTTCATACTGACCACACTGGGTCCTCCCTTTAACTTGAGAACACCGACGTAATAGCCTTGAGTGGTGCAGACAACGGTCACTCTGGGATCAGGAATGGAACAGTATTGTCTTTAGTGACGAGTCTCGATTTTGTTTAGGCATGCACGATGGTCGTGCCAAGGTTAGAAGGCGACGTGGTGAAAGGAGGAATCCACAGTTTTTTGTTGAAAGACATGTTCATCACACTGTTGGAGTTATGGTTTGGGGTGCTATAGCTTATGGTTCCAGGTCACCTTTAATCTTCATCAGAGGTAACATGAACGCGCAGCGTTATATCCACGAAGTTCTAGAACCCCATCTTTTACCCTATCTTGACACCCTGGCAGATCCAACTTTCCAACAAGATAATGCCCGACCACATGTTGCAAGAGTCACAATAGACTTCTTTCAACATAATGATGTCATATTGTTACCATGGCCACCAAGATCTCCCGACTTATCCCCAATTGAGCACGTGTGGGATATGATGGGTAGGAGATTGCTCAATTTGCAACGTCCTCCTCAGACTCTAGAAGCACTTCGAGAGGAGTTGGTGGTTGCCTGGAATGAGATACCACAGGAGGACATTGACCACCTGATCAGAAGCATGCCTAGGCGCGTTGGAGAATGCGTAGCACATCAGGGTGCATCCAAACATTATTAAAGGTCA